TAATGGATTAGTATTAAAGTAAATAAGTGGTAGTGTAACTCATCAAGACACTGCAACTCTTAAACTACGAGGAGAAAGTGAGAAAACAAATCTGATCTGAATACAATAATATCAAGAATCTTTAAATAAGTTAATAGAAACAACTACAAATAGACAAGTAAGATAAGAGATAGTTAATAGGGTATTTGGTGCAACTAATTAAACTTGATCTTACAAAATATCAATTAGATGAATCTCCGTTCTTTCATGGTTGAAATGGGTAATATATTAAATATAAACAAATAATAATAATCTGATTCGAGAATTGCAAACGCAAAAATAAAAATATTAATGATAATTAAATAAATAGTCATGTTTAAGGCTATAGAAAATTTTATGACATAGTTAGGGATGATTTTAGAATATGAATATTAAATAGAAAATATTTTACAATAAGTTATGAATACAATTTTAATAAACTATCTTTACATAAAACATTAATATTAATGATTGAATAATAAATACAATATAATAATAAATTTTTAATAAGGTATTAAAATACAAAATTAAAAATTAAATATTTAATTTAATACACTTTAATTATATTCTATTTTTACATAAAATACATTATTATGATTCTGACGCTAAACAATATATTTATAAATACTATAATAAAATAATATATAACATAAAGATTTATGATTGAAAATTTAATACAATATCTTTAAATTAAAATTATGATTAAATGAAAAATTTAATATTATAACATAAAATACTTAATGATGATGTAATATACAATACATTATACATTAATCTAAATAATTATTAAATATTAAATTAATATTTGAAAGTAAAATAAAATAATGACTGCATATTTAAAACAATATATTTTAATCAAAAATATGATTAAATTTAAATTAAATATTTTAAAATATACTTAATAATGCTTTATTATTAAATACATTATATTTTAATCTAATCAATGATTAAAGTATAAATAAACTATTTTTACATATAATACAAAATAATGATTAAATATAACAGCAGAAGGAAACACCATAAAATGAACAGAATAAAATAACTAGTCTGTGGAATGAATTCACAAGCCAAACTGAATTTAATAAGACTCATGTATCGGTAATCTTTTTAACGAGCGCAAATAGTAATAGGTGGCCAAAGGATAAAAAAAAATAGCAGTCACTAGCACTAGATTATATGCACTAATTACGATCATTGCGGGAATGGATAATGAATGTGGATATCTTCATCCGATGATAAATTAGAAATGGATGTTGGCCCAATGGTAGACATAACATAACAGCGAGTATCATCAAACTCCAAGGAGATACTAGGTTTTCTTGCATTTTCAATTACCATCTACAAAAGATCCTCTCATTATTATTATTTAATTACAATTTTTATACTTACTATAAATTAGAAGAATAAATAAAATTTTATTAAATTTGATACAATTTATTATTCAATTAATATAGATATTAATAAAAATTATCATCATCATCAAACATATTTTATTTATATTTTAAAGTCTTCAATTTTGTCAAGTATTGAAATGACACATAATGTTTGAAAAGGAAATAATTTACAATCGCTTATTATTCCAGAATATGATATCATATACTCAGAGAAATATTTTCTTTTTGAAATGAAGAAGTATATTTCACTGTAATAATCTAGAGAAACTAAGTAAATGAGGGCTATTCCAGAGCTAATGAAATCATTTCCGAAATTAGTCAATTGTGTTCCCTTATCAATAACGGAGAGTAAATGAGTTAAGGATAGAAATGCCATTACCAATTTTATGTTTGATTGACATTTAATTAGTATCAAAACTATTTCATTCTTATAGAAATTATTCATAAAATTTAGATTATTGATTGTAATATAAGGCCAAAACAATTGTTATTATCAACAATTAAATTACTAAATACATTCAAGTATTAATGCAAAAGCGGATTTAAATTTTGAAAGAGATGATAATAAATATTATTAATAAGAAGAAAGGAAATAGAATATAGTCACAAATAAGATTATTCAAAAGTGATGTTTCTGAATTATCCTCTACTATTTATTTTAATGTTTAATTTTTAATTCTTTTAATGATCAACTTTTTTGAGATTGTGTTTAGGTATATTTACTTTTATTAAAATTTTGTGATAATTTAAAACTTAAGAAAATTTGGAGTTCATAAAAACAATCTTCAAATACAAATTAAGAGGTATTATTCTCATTATTCACAGTATTACTGTTTTTATTATCAGAATAAATAATTTAATATAAAATGAGTCTATATCAAATATTGACCAATTAAACTTGACTAACTCGTCGGTTGTCTAAAAACAGTTCAAATTACTTGTCAATTATTTTTAATTATTAATTTATAAATAAGAGATGCAGTAGTTTTAATTAAACAACTGATCAAGTTATCTCCTAAATTGTGCTAAATTTAGTTTAGGTGATCAAATTATTTTGGCACAAGAAATTTATTTAATTAAAAAAACATCCGATTACGCAAAGAACAATTCTCAAATCTCTAAAGCATACTTATAAAGCAATATACGGATGAAATTTAGGGATCATCTTTTTAAAAATTTACATTCAGCTAATCCATTTGGGCTGTTAATTATAAACATATAATCATTAAATAAATGTTTTACCATTCAACTTCTCAAATCAAATTTCACTCTTTCTCAAGTCAAAATCTTGTTCCAGTTGAAGGCATTAGAAATAAAAAGCAATTTAGATTGTAAATACTTTATAATTCCTGAAATATATATTAAAACTTTATTCTTATAAATATTAAAATGAATTTCTCTATGATAATAAATTTTTTGACTCATAAATCTTTAATAATTAAATTGATGGATTAATAAATTGAATATAAAATAAAGTCTTTTTTGAAATAATTTGTGGCACTTTAAAATAAATTTAAAAAAATGAGAAATCATATGATAGATTTGCAAAAAAAAGATTAAGAATAAGATAAATATTGCATAACTTAAGCTTAAATAATTGATTTAAATTTGGAAAAGCATCTAGCCTAAGAGAAATAAGGAATAGAGATTGTTAATTTTCCATTAATAAGCCTTGTTTCTAATAATTCTAAGTATTTAGATATGATATTTATGACGAAATTTAAAATACTGAATATTCTATTCAATTTGAATCTTATAGTATGTTGAATATATGATAATTTGGGATGACGCATCATAAGAAATAAAAATAAATAGATTCAGAGAAGAATGATAATCATTATTATATTAATCATATAAATGAGAAATTCTTTTTTATTTTAGGAAAAAAAAAATAATAAAATGAAGGTAACGCTTAAAAGCAATTAAATGATACAATTCATGATTCACTAAAAATAATATTAAGAGTCCCTTTTATTATTTGGCGAATATAATTAATTAAACCCAACCTTAAATCAAATTTTTATTTCTATATCAGTTTTATTTTTTGTCTACAGATAAGATTAATAACATAGAAATAGTGATATAGTTTTTTGAAAACTATGAGATTCAAAAAATAAGAAGATAAGTGTAAGTTAGTATTCTTTTAAAGAAAAGCTTGAAAAAAAACGTTGAATTAGGATCAAAAAATTCTTTAAATAAAATAAGGATTAAACAATAATTAGTAGTTAATTTTATTTTTATCCAGCAACAAGTTGCTTGATCAATAAATTAAAAATTAGGTTTATTATAATGTCAAAATAATTTTTAGCTCTTTTTGGCAAGAAACTATTCATAATTTAATTTAGATTTTCTTCCAATTAAACAAATGGAACTTATTAAATATACCTAACAAAATAGAGGATATATAAAGCGTGTTTTCTAAGTAACTGTTACTAATTTATAAGTTGATTTCTAAAAATTCTAAAACAATGAAGAATAGAGGAAAATGTAGAAAAATACAAATAGGATAGCCTCTTATCTTAGTCGTAGATTTTAATTAGATCGATATATCGATTCCTTATACTGATAAAACTGTTATTTAATTATCAAATTTATTCAAGTTAAATCAATAAGATTATTTTTCAATCTTCTCTCCATGTCAAATGATTTTATTTCTTAACTTTTAATTGCTCTATTGGTATTTTGGTGTTATTAATTTAATCAATCTGTTCTCAGATCATAGAATTTTTATCAAGAAGAATGTCTATTTTGTTTGAATTTTATTGGCATTACTTATCTCTCATCTAACTTCTATCCAATTTAAGTATTTTTATTGAAATCATATATGCTTCATAGCTATGATGAATTTTTGGATAAATATCGTTTATAATTTGCTACTCTTGTTCTTTACCTAAACCTAATTATGTTTTCCTCAAATACTAAATCCATCTTTTAACAATTGTACTAGAACTTCAGTAAACTCTAAGGAAGAAAGTATTCTCCGTAATCAATGATTTGCTTGAAAAGCTAATACTTCGGTTTTCTTGTTGGTTGATAAATCCATTTTAGAGGTATATTAAATTTATACAACCAACCATTTTTTTTATAAATTTCTGCAAATTCCATTTGGTGTTCATCAACAAGAGGTAGATTTTACTTTAACTACTTCTTTTTAAATCTAATCTTGGATTTCTACTTTTAGATTATAGAGATACAAAAATTTGTGATTTTTTGTATTATTTTCTGCGGTTTCCTTAGCTTACAACATATTGATAAAAATAATAATTGTTTTCCTAATTTATTTTTATTTGAAGTTGACTTTTTAAATATTTTCATTAAATTCTATTTTCTCTTCTAGCTAATTTATTAAATTCACATCAAATCCTATTCCTTCCACTCCTCTTCAAATTTACTTGATATTTCTGTTATTGCAGGTGATAATAATATCTTTGTTGAGGATTGTTTATTAGACAAAATTTACGAATAATGATTAAACATTCTATAAAAGAACTTATGTTTCATCAATTTGATCAATTTCTTAATTAAAATAGACAAAAAAAGTGCTTTAAAAATAATAACTAAGCAGAGATAAGCCGACACGCTATCTTTATGAGAAGAACATAATTTATAATAACTTTCTTTTACCTGGAGATTTAAAAAAACAATTATTTTAAGAGGAAAAAATATTTAATTCCAAAGTGCTAAATATTAAGCATATGTTATTCGTGCTCATATAAAATTAGAATGTTAAAAATAATGTATAATTAACTAGAAACATTGATATTATTTTATAATTTATTAAAATAAAATTAATTGATAATCGATATTTTTGGAAATTTACAAATGAAAATAGTATTGAAAAAATAATCAATGAGGATTCAATGTCGTAGAAATGATAAGTTAATTGTATTATACTGATACCAAGTCTACTTCATTAAATAAAGTAAAGCTAATCAAAATAATGGCTGAAATGAATTGTACATTCTTTTTATAAAATAATTTGGAAATTGAATTTTATGATAAGTATTAATTGTTGTTGAAAATAATTAAGACTATAATTTCTCTTCATATTAAGTTATTTAATATATTTGATTTAATTAAAAATGTTATCTTAAAGTTATCAGACTCATTAAGATTATATATAATTATGTTAATACTATATTTCATATATTATTAAATTGAAGAATGATTTCTATATATATATCTAATAATATAGTAATAATAAAAAAATATTGAAATGCTGTAATGAAGTAAATGCGACAATTAAAAATTCTGCTATTTGATCAAATAAATTTTTATTTTATAAATTTTATTTATTTCAAATTCTATCATGATATAAGAATTTTGTTAGAATGAGGGTCACGATAGCGAGGAACTATTATATGTTTGTAATGAATTGAAATGTATTGATTTAATTAGTAACAAACTGATCTGTTAAAAATGTTTGTGTGTACATAATGGGGTGAGTTATAAAAAATTAAAGGAGAAAGCCTTTAAAAACTATAATTAATATATTGAAATGTTGTAAAATGATATTGATGAAAATGAAACGTTGAAAAAAAGCATAGAGGAATCTCTGAAAGAGTTATAAGGAAAGATTATGAAAATGCTTTCAAATTTCTAAAAAAATATTTTCACTTTTGTTGATCAATAAAATTAAAGATTACAAACAAATAAAAGTTAAGCATAATCATTGATGCAAGATCAAAATCCATCACTTGACTCCTATATATTTTTTGCTAAGTTTTCTGATAAAAAGGCAAAATAGAAATAGGAAACCACAAAATAACAAATTAAAGCAATTGTTACTGATTTAATAGATGATCTAACTAAAAAAATAGAATATCTCAAGCAGCCAGATGTTAATGAATATAAAATTATTGAATTTGAACTACAATCATTTGAAATAAAATCAATTTTAAAGAAATAACTTCCTTATAGCTATTGCGAAGAACATTGCTCGAATAACACTTCAATATGCATCAACACTAAATGTTTAGAATAAAATAATTTAGACTATCATTGTTTAAGATGTAGCAAGACTTCTCATGTCGAAGATTTTAAAAATAATTATTTAGTGGAATATGATAAATTGAAAAAGGATTAGAAAATAATGTAAAATTTTGTAGTGAATAAAAAATAATGTATTAAAGAATATGCTTAAAAATTAGCAAATAATTTAATTAATCAAATAAGAATTGAGCAAAAAGAATAATAATCAAAATATGAAATAGCCATTGAAAATATCAAAAGTATTCATCAGTAATTTGAAATTAATTTATCAGTTTAAGACAATAAATATGTGTTTGGAAATTTAATATTATAATTTATAACAACAAAGTAAGAAAAAATTGAATTTTAATTAAATTAAGTATAATAAAATTTTGAAGAAAAGCTAAAATGGTGAAGCAAAAATTCTTAGAATAATGCGGATTTTTACAACAGAAATAAGACCAAATTTTGAAACTTCAAATTTGCTAAAAAGAATTAAAAGAAGTAATAGATCAAATAGACTAAATGATAAAAAGCTACTCTTCAGAAAATATGTTAAATTTGATATTAAGAGAAATATAGGAAATTAGAAAAGATAAGAATGAAATACAATATTTATAAAATGAGAATCAAAGCTTAATATAGATAATTGATAATTTATAAGGGTAAATTAATAGTTTAATCTTAAAAAATAAAAGTTAAGAGAATGCCTCTGATAATTTACTGACAAATATTGATAATTTAAAATAGAACAACTAAAGTTAATAGGTGACTATAAAGGATATATAGATAGAAATTGATAATTTGAAATAGAACATTTCAAGTTAACAGGTGACTATAAAGGAGAAATAGATAGAAATTGATAATTTGAAATAGAACAATTCAAGTTAACAGGTGACTATAAAGGATAAATAGATAGAAATTGATAATTTAAAATAGAATATTACAAGTTCCATAAGTGACTATAAAGGATAAATAGATAGAAATTGATAATTTAAAATAGAATATTACAAGTTCCATAAGTGACTATAAAGGATAAATAGATAGAAATTGACAATTTAAAATAGAATATTACAAGTTCCATAAGTGACTATAAAGGATAAATAGATAGAAATTGATAATTTAAAATAGAATATTACAAGTTCATAAGTGACCATA